GAATAATTTTCAAGCTTTTGCAATATTAATACACCTACCATCTGATTTTGTAATTTTTCAAACATTACTTTGAAGCTCCTGTAGCCAATTAGATAGTGGTACTATTAATTACAGCTTGCAGCTTGAAATACAGTGCTATCAATAGAGTTTAGCTGCATAAATATAAATATAAAAGTAAAACTTAAAATTGAATTAAACTGTTTCCCCCTTTGTGAGGGTATGTTAGAATATTATTAGTTGTGAAAATTAATTTGTTAAGCTTGAAAACAGCCTTTAAAGCTCAAATATCTCTGGGGAAAAGGTTCTATTTCATGTATGGGATTTCTCCCATCTTCATGGTGCAAGATTTTTTAATCTTCTATTAAGTATTACCTTGGGGGGTGGGGAAGTCTACTGATCACTTTGCTTAATAAAATACAAAAAGCTTTAGCTTTATAGCAAACATATACAAAGATTGCAGCAGAAAATGTAAACTACTCTTAAGCGCAATCCATCTTATTTTTGAATTATCAATGAATAGTCTAAGTGGAGATGAAAGGTTACGTCCCTTAAGTTTTGTTTTCCTGCTCAAACCTCCTTCCCTCCCTGCCCGTGCTCCCAATTCCCAACAGACTTTCACTTTATACACTCAAAGTTTTAGAAGTCCAAAAGTTGTTAAAGGTAATTCTTCCTCTCTGGAGACATTCAAAATCCACCTGGACACATTCCTGTGTAACCTGCGCCAGATGATCCTGGCAGGGGCACTGGCCTAGATAATCTCCAGAGGTGACTTCCAACCCTAACTATGCTGTGATTCTGTATGACGTAATGCGATAATTTTGAGAAAAGCAGAGGTACAATGCACTACTGTAGACACACTAGAAAAAACTAACAAGAAACCAAGTTGACCTAAGAACTATGACAAAGAAATGTCACAGACCATTTCCTATGTAAACATATGTATTAGTTATAATTAAATACAGTTTTCAATGTGACTGTAATGATAAAATATTATGAAAGATCATAAAGTAACTGTGGCCCCACTCAGAAAAATGCTGTTAACTTCAATATACTAGGATAAAAGGACCAGGTAAAAGTACAGAACCCTGTCCCTAAAAACAGGTATTCAAGGGCACCTGCTGATATTAAGTACATCATTCTCTTCTGAGGTAGAGCTGCCATGAAGTTATGTCATTTTGCCTCAGTCAAAGAGCTGATCTTACACTTACGGCAATACATATAAAATCAACTTACAAGCAAAAAGGGGCAAGCAATGCTGAAGTTCCTCACAATTATCAGCTCAGTTCCCTGCCTGTATCATTTTAACCTCCTCTTCTAATAGTTTCGTGTTTCACTGCCAGTACCTATGTGCCAGCAGTTGATCAACAGTGGTGGATAAAATCTGCCATGTAACATTTCATATATTATTAGTGGAGTTGTTACATTTTCCAGTACAAACATCAGACTAACTGATCAAATATTCTGAACTCAGAGAGATCTGTCTGCACCAAATGCATTCGTATTTTGAAAAACGAAGTGAAAAGTATCCCATGATTTTCTCTCTGACAGAAAATTCATTTGGTTTCTAATAATACAAGGACTGAACCATTAAAAAAAGTTGGACTAGAGACTTTCCAACATTTATTTTATCAAACATAATTGACAGCAAAGTTAAGATCAACATTTAGCATGACAGTTTAATGAGGACTAGGTAAAATGTGCTTCTTTTTTTTCCCAGTTTTAATTTCTCTTGGTGAGTCAAGTTTCTCTCAGTTCAATGCTTAAACTCTCAAGCAATTTGTATGAATTCATTCCTTTGATCAATGTACCAAAATGATCTGATCATCATGTCAAAATTATTACAGTGATATTATTGATTAAATTTGTAATGGAAGTAGAAAATTCTAAAAATTTAATCATTGTCTTCAAGCAATAATGCATGGAAGAATGAGTTGGAATAAGGACAATTCCCTAATCTCCTTCCAATCATTGTCATGTGAAATATTTAATTTCCAGCTATGCTTTGTCCCACACAAGATCTTTGTCATTAAAATGAGAGCAGATTTTGATATGTAATATATTTGGTGACATGTCAGGGTGGCACCACTTTGACCTTTTCAGTATTCCACATTTCATTTGGGAGCCTGTTTCTTCCTTTCTGCTTCTGTTACTGATCAAAAAATAGAAATTGTACTGAGGGCCAATGAAACTGGAAATAAGAGCAAAGAGTCAAGATCACAACAAAAAAAATAACATTAAAGTACATGAGATTAATCTGTTTTAAAATATGTAAAACCCTACCTCTTTCTTAAGTCTCAACTTTCACCAAAAAAAATGAACAATAAACAAAAACCCCAAGCTTTCCTATTTACATTTTCAAATCTGCTATCTCACGTTCTCTCATTCACTGAACTTTCTTCAGCAATGAATATATCCATTTCTTTAACATCCCTTCCTCCATTTTTTGCTTTTCATTATGCTTCACATTCATTTTGCTTCCAGTTGTTGGCTACTTATCTTAAACAGGACGTAAGGTTCTCAGCAAGGAGTTGAGCTGTGCTATGTATTTGTATGCCAGCAGCACAAGGGTAGTAGTGTCCCAATTAGGTTCTCTTAACACACAATTTATTAACACAGAGCTGCTAAGTTTTGCTGTTGTGTGCAGTCTTGCACTATGCTATGATTTTTTAAACCTACCTAGACTCTACAGTCTCAGATCTCATAGTCAGATGCTATTCAAACATTCCATTTTAAAAGAATTTCCAGCCCTGTGGTTCAGGTGAAAAGTCTAAGGACAGTGGATAATAGGATCAGGCTTGAAGGGACATTAAGAAATCATCCAATCCACCTCCCAGCCCCAAGGAAGAACTAAGTACACTTACATAATCCCTGGGCAGGTGTTTGTCCAATGCATTCTCCCAGATCCTGAGCAATGGAGGTTCTAAAATGTCCCCAAGCAAGCTGGTACAATGCTTTAATGTCTTAACCATTAAAAGGGGCCTTTTACAAATCTAGACAGAATCATGCTAGAGATTAATTCTACTGCTTCTGTTCACATACACTGTGTTTGGATGAACAAGTGGTCCTCTACCTTTCTGTAAAAGCCTCTTTGAAAACAATATTTTCCATCACCTTCCCTTCTTAGTCAACTCTTTTTCAGGATAACTAACCCCCCTTGCTCAGTTGCTCCTCACAGACCATGTTTTCAAGATTTGTGACTGTCTTTGTTCTTGCTTGCTTGAGGAGTCTCAGCTTTTCTGGAGTGAGGATCAAAACCTGTACTGAGTCAAAATGAGGCTCAACAACTGACAGGCAAATTGGAGGATTACTCAAATTATTTTACAGAATGTATGCCCGTCTGCATGCTCCCTTAAAACATGAGGAATACAGACAGGTTATAATTTACTATCATCCTCAGATCATTTTTTAAAATTGTATTTTCTGACAAGTCCATCTGAATTCCTCATTGCACAGACCTTTCTCACTGAAGCACAATGCCTTGCATGTGTCTCTTACATTATTACTTTTTCAGACCGTGTCTTCAGACTTGGACTTTAAGAATATCTTCCAATACACTCCTAGTCCTTCTGAGCTTGAAGCCACCTCCAGATTGTACAATATCCTTCATTCCAAGTCCATCGGGATTAAACATGAAAATATTGGCTGCCAAATACCAACCACCAAATACCACACAACTCATTCTTTCATTTAAACAGAAATCATTGCTAATTATTCTCTGAGCAAAGTTTTCTAAATAGGTCTGCATCCAGTCCATGATATTTTTACCTAGATCACAATTCCTAAAGTTGCTCAGAATACTGTATGTGACAGTTGAGATAACACTACAAAATTCAAGAGACATGACACATCAAGTGCTTTTTCTCCAGCTATAAGCTGTTATCCTGTCAAAGAAAATTATTGTACGACTTTGATACTATTTGTTCTTGACAATTCTGCACTGGCTATCAATCATGTCCATGTGGCTACATATGATTTACCTGATTATTTACTTCAACATTCTTCTAAGAAACAAAAATTACTTGTCTCTCCTGACTCCTTCTACTTTCCTTCTTTAGAATCCCTAGAGTCCCTGGTACCCACATTAGCTGGAAAGTTTCTATGAGCACAGAGGTTGCCAAAATCAAATGTTCTATTAGAAAACATAAATTTTAATTGCTTTTGATTCACAATCCTTGTGTTGTTGTGAGTAATCAGTTATCTTTATGGTTCAAGCATAAGCAGCTGAAACACACATGTGCCTTCCTATATTACTGAGAAGGTCTCTAGATTCACATACAGATATTGAAAGTGGAAAATGTTACTGTATTTTCTCTCCCTACCTGATTCAAAAAAAACAGAGTTCATATGTACATGCCCTGAAAGTCAAATCCAGATTAACCCAGGCTTTCTGAAGAAGGACAGGAAGACTGTTTGCAATTTATTTCATGTGTGTGTGTGTGTATGTCATTTAACACTGTACTTAGTGAAAGACCAATTTCACCGGCTTTCAAACCACCTGCTATTCATCTTATTCCTTGGTGTCCAAAACCTACTTCTCTATACTGAGAAACAGCGATATTTTCAGGCCAGAAATAACCATGGTAGTGTGAAAAATAAACAAAATAAAAATAAAAGGATCAAAGGGACTTAAATATACTTCCCATAATAATGCCTGCATTTGTATAGTACATTTCATCCTGAAGGAAAAACAATAAGGTTCTGTCTTTTACAGCAGAGATTTTCTTGTTGGCTGTAATTCAGCTGATGGTTACCTGTTGCCCCTAACTCATCAAGTTGCTCCCCCTTTCCAAAAGGGGAAGAGGCATAGATTTTTTGCCTGTCTTCTTAAATTACTGCCAGAACTGTCACCTTGGCAGAAGTGTGAGACGCAAAATCATCCACTTGAGTCCAGGTGACACACCCACGGGTGTTCTGATCACACTGTGAAGACCTAAGCAGAACTCAGCAATGCTCTGCAACTCAGCAGCTATAAATACAAAACCTGATAAACATACACTCACCGATTTCTCTGGAGATCTGGGTGAACGCCTCCACACCACTCTCTCCATAGTTGCCTTCAGAAGCCAGTGTCGAGACATAGTTCCACCCAAGGGCCGTCACGATGTCCACCATGGCCTGCGCTTGGTAGGAATCTGGTGGGACCACTCGAGAGAAGTAGTCATACCTGGTGTTATCGCTCAATTCTGGAGCTGTAGATGCATAGCTGATTTGAGGTATCTGCAAACAGAACGACAAGTCATTCAAACGAATCTAATACCATTTTACACTTTACACTTGTATGCTTGAAAGGCTTAAAATAGATTATGCACAGGCATTGCGCAGAACCAAATATCTTGTTTTAATTAAATCAGCTGATCAGAAAGTGTCTCAGATTTTGTATAATGCCAGTCAAGCCTTATTGTATAACACTCTCAGCAAGAAATAATACATTCAGCTTTGCTCCAGATGTCATGATTCTTGACATGCAAGTGCAACAACTGGCTGTGATAGAAACAAGTGAAGGGAAAAAAACCTGAGAAGATAAGGAATTCTTACTATTACTACTGAAGATAAAAAGGGCAGTTTTGATGACTGTGGTTCTTAAAAATGCTACACTTAAATTTGACAAGGACAATTCAGATTATTTCCATTTCATTATTTTATTTATAGAATCATAGAACATTCAAGGTTGGAGGAGACCTCTTAGCTCAAGTCTAACCATTAACCTGCCACACCACTTTAAGCCCTAAACCCTAAACCATATCCTCCAGTGCCAGATCCAAACACCTCTTAAACACTTCCAGGGATGGTGGCCCCACCTCCTCCCTGGGCAACCCAGTCCAGTGCCTGAACACCTTAACAGTGAAAAATATTTTCCTAATATCTAATCTAAATCTCCCCTGTCTCAGCTTATGGCCATTCCCTCTAGTCTTCTCACAGCAGACACAACAGACAAGACCATCCCCCACCTCCCTCCAATCCCCTTTCAGGCAGTTGCAGAGAGTGATGAGGTCACCCGAGTCCCTTCTCAAGGCTAAACAAATGCAATTCCCGCAGCCCTTCCTCATAGGACATGTTTTCTAGACCTTTTATGAGCCTTGTTGCCCTTCACTGGACTCACTCCAGTGCCTCAATGTTCTTTTCAAAGGGAGGGGCCCAAAACTCAACACAGTACTTGAGGTGTGGCCTCACCAACACTGAGCACAGCATTATGTAAATGCACATGTGCGCTCACATTTTATTAATATTTTTCAAGCCTTCTCTGTCATAGATTTTTCATTTTCCAGATTTAATATAGCACTGCTCATGATTTAATGTATGTATTTAATACCAAAAGCTATGTGATTAAAAAAAAATAATTAAATTACTTCTATATGCTATACATATAGAGAAGGGGAAAGGTTACAAGGATGGTAAACTCCGTAGAAAACATCTCAATATTCTTAGTTAAAAAAAAACCTAGGGTGGTTTTCTGTTAACTCTTGTCTTAAATAAAAGATTTAGTAATGTCCAGAAGAAACTGTGTGTAAGCAATACTCTGTTCTGAAGAATGTTTTGGTGTAAGAAAATTTAATTAACATTTATACTAACTTAAAAGGAAATTATTTTCTCATTTAAAATGGTAAAACTGATTAAGCAGTCACTATCTTGAAACAAAACATACTCCAAATATTGCACTGAATTTATGATCTGTATTAACAATAGGTGCTTAATTTATGTCTGCAAAACATAAAATAGTCTTCAAGAAAGCAATCTCAATGGAGTTCCTAAGTTGATTCTGTGAGAGCTGAATTTAGCAGTCCCAGGCAAGAGGTGATCTGGTAAATGCTCACTGGCACATTAGATGCTATAGGAGAAGGTTTCAGTGCAACTCTTATGTCCTGTAGAGTGCTTCCTCATCAGTGCAAACTGAAAAAGGGATTTGGGGTAAGTGAAAGGCAATCAAAGAGTCTAGTCATTAACCATACCTGCAAAGGCAGTGAAGACTCTTACAGCTTGAAAAAACAGTTTCTAGTCTAACAGATGGCAAAATCACTTCTCATTCAGAAACAAACAAAATTAGTTTTTACGTATCTTGACTATATTCTTCTTCCAGAAATTTTCTACAAGTGGAAATGTCTCAGAATAAATAATCTGAAATGTTGCTATAATAACAACCGGGGGGGGGGGGGGG